AAGCAATAATTGCCTCCCAGGGAGTTGTTACAGAGGCATCAGCGAAAGAAAATGAGCAGGGTGAGATTCAGGTGCGCCTTTCGCTTTACTGGCGGCCAAGCGAAGCCAAACCGTCTCGGCGACGGCGTCTTTTAACTGCCGAAGTGTTCCGCACCGCATGTGGCCAGACGATTTCGCCTAATCTTATAGCCGGCAAGTGCATTGTTTTGCCGATCACTCAATTTATCCGAACATGCGCCAAGGTGAGTCATTTGAATTTACCTGTTTGTCTATATACTCTGTTTTCTTATTGGACTCACTGATCTCCACTCCAAAGTCACCCAGTTATATGTTTCTAAACGGGCACACTTTCTCTCAATGCAATGAGCTTGTTTTTATGAAAATTAATCTTCCTTTAGCTTAGCTTGTTTAGTGAATTCCTTAACTTTAGTTAGTTCGAGCGGTATACATGTTTTTCCCATAGTTGGCTTTTTACTGCCTGATTTATGCCTCACTGACTATTTATTTATTGAATTCCATGCGGAGTCTGCAAATAATTTATATGCTTTCTACCTTAACACTTACATTTAAACGGACTTTTCCTGAATTTAATTTGCTATTTGGTCTATTTTTCTTAATATTTTTACCCTATCCTTTTTAAACTAAAAATAAGCGTGAATACTCTATTTTTGCTTTTCAGAATTTTGAAGAACCTGATGTCTACGTGTGTGAATCCCAATTCTCGATAAAAAGTCAAACTTTCGTCAAAATTAAGGTAAGCTCATCATGCTGAAGCATTAAATTATTCCGGGCAACATAAAGGCCCTTTTAAAATCGATTTTATATAAGCTCGGATTCTTTTCTTCGTTCATTGGATCTTAATTACCTTGGAGCTATTTTGACCTTGTTTTTACATCCTGATATGTATGGGCAGCTGTCAAAAATTAGAAATCCTCTGTCATTGAAGCCACGTAACCTTTTGACAGAATATTTGAATAAATACATTTCTAGCCATTTAAAATCAATATATTCAGTTTCGAAAGCTCTTACAACTAAATTTGGCCAGGTTTAATCTCTATTTTGATTCGCTTTTTCGTTGCTCTGATAGACTAGATATATTTGTCCTCCTTTATGGGTTCATTCGCGCCCAGTCGCATTAACCCTCGACCCCATCTCTTCATCACTGGATTCTTGACCTCCACTTAAGCTACATCAGTTGTCTCATCCTTTTATTATTTTGATAGTCCTTTTATCATTTTATTGACTAACTTCCCTAAATGATCTTAACCACCGTATCCATTATACTCCAACAAGTATTTATATGGCGGGTGCCGAATACGTAACACCACTTCCTTGATAAGCTTGTACGCGACGGCTTCACAAAGTGATGCCCCCAACCGTGATTACCTTGATTTATGAATTTTTATAGCGATCGCCATCGATAACAACATATTCTGTAATGACCCATCACGTTCATCATCCTTTTCTTTGGCTCACAGATCTATCACTCAACCCGTCTGTAGTTTTATTACACCTGTCAGTACCTTTCTTTCTGCTTTATTTTTCACTTAAAACTCTTATTCTTCTCTCTGTTGCTTATCTTTTCCAATTTTGATGATTTATTTAATCATGTGGCTCCATTCCACTAAGTTTGGCTTTATTATTCGTCGGGTTTATAAATCTCACGTTCGGCCTGCTGAGACTGCTTTCGTTGCCCAATTAAAGTAGGCCACTGGATAGTTGTCACATTGAGGCCAGGGCCCGACCATCATACCCTTACTTTTAACTAATACCTCACATCACCGACTTTATTTCGGTGCCACTTCTTCTACTCAGCTCATTTATTAATTTAATCTCTTTAAAAGGCCTTTCATTGCGATGCCTTTTCCTATTGCCTTAGCTGTAGCCCTTGATCATTTTTGCTAATCGTGTTGACTGTCAAATTATATCCCATAAATTATATTTATACCAGGAATCACTTGCTTCGCTTATCCAAATAAAAAGATTACTTTTTATGTAGTAAGTTTAAACAACTTTTAAATATTCGCTTTTTTGTTTAATGTGTTAATTAATATTTTTCTTCTGTATGTTTTATATGTTATTCAGTTCATTATTTAGATATGATCTTTAGTTTACGTAATAATTTGCGTGTATACTACAATTATAAAATATTACATTCTTGTCTAAAAAATTATGTCCTCTCCTGTTTAGTATACTTGCTTTTAATTGAAAAAATGCGAAAAGTACTAGGCATCGAAGATTTATGAGGAATTTTAAAGATTACTTTAAAGTATCAACGTTTGGGTCCGATTAACATCACCTACTTTTTAACGAAAAGACTTTTCTGCTCATTTTCATCAAGGCTAACAGGTATGCGTAATCTATATTGCTAATAATTTGTCTCTCCATTCGACAGCGTTGGGGTCTGCCCACTCCTTTCGGCGTCGAGTTTGAGGAACGTATGACACCTTTTGTGCCTACTCGTCTTCCACCCAGTGAGCCACTCGAATGCGCTCTCGAACAAGTTGATGTCAAGGCATTTGCTGACATGACTTTCCCTATTTCTCGACCTCATCACGTGAGTCTCTTATGTTAATTGAATATATGAAGACCAAGATGTTGTGGCCTCTGTTATGGTCGCAGTCTCCTTTCGATTTATAGTAGTGG